TCCAATCATCCAATCTGACTGGTGTGCTTACCAGAAAAGGAAGTTGAAACACACAGCAGAGACAACAGGGTTTCACAGGCACGGAGAAAAGCCTCTGAGAAGGCACTGCAGGCAGGCAGCCATGAGGAAGCCAAGGAGACAGGCCTCAGGTCACACCAGACCTACCAACACCTTCACCTTGGATTTCCAAGGTTCCAGAACTAAGAACAATGTAATCACTTTAGGAAGCAGTTTCAAGGCTGATCCCATTTTGTGCATTACACTGCACAGCCCCTTAAGACTCATTAGGAAGCATCCGCCATCACAGAGAGAGCCACAGGAAAGCACACACAGCTGCAACTCAAGCAGGGATAGGTCATAAAGGAAGATTGGAGCAAGAGGGGTTGGGAGAAGCAAGAGAGCCAGAAAGCTTTCCAGCTGGAAGAGCAGGACAAGCTCGACCAAGCAGGCATCATTCGCGCTAGACCTTCCAAGACGGGCAAAATTTCCACTACAGATAGCGGGAGTAGGTGAGTGCTAACTCAAGACAGAGGGTTCCCACACCCCTGCACAGATACCCCCAGGTGTCAGTCACCAGTGGACACAGTTGGCATTTGGCAAGCCTAACTTGGTATCAGAAGACATTAAGATGCTTTATAAATAGATAAATCCCCTCAGGCTCTGCATAGAATCGGAATTTTAATCAACTGCTCTGCTTCATCAATTTGAAAGGTCTTTTTTTTTTGTTTTATCACAATGGCTATATTTCTACTGAATGAGACCATATATAAAAGCAGAAAAAAACCATTACAAGTTCAGTAAGGATTGCAAGTGAATTGCATTTTATTAATTAGGGCCAAACCTGTGGTTTAAAAACAATGTGCACAGTATCATATTGACACACAGACATGTTAGATGCAACTTATTCAACCTGCAACCCTATTAACCACAAGTTCTCAGATTCTGCCTCCTCCTTCCTCACTTTGAGAAGGTGCCCACAAAGTTTTCCTGTTATTTTGAGGGGCTGTGCTATTCTTAAAACTCTGAGTTTTGAAGTCATCCTTATTCAAGTGATGGAAAGAACCAACCTTGCTTGAGACAATTCATAAAAAGGATAAAACACAATGTTAGATGCCACCTTCCCAATGGCCCAACCACACACCAACTCTCGGAACTCCTACTTCCTTCGCTCCAGTTTTTAAAAATAGATTTCTTGAAGGTGGATCCTTCAGTGAACTTTCTTTTCAGAGCTTGGCTCTAGCTGCAGCCAGACTCTGAAAGCTCTGTCATGGGGTACTTCCCTATGACCCAGCAGCCAGGGTTTGCCAGGTGAGCCATCTTCCCAAGAGAGCAACAGTTTTGTGTCTGTGAATGACCCACCACAGTGCAGTGGAACGAATGGAGAAGCTAGATTCCTACTCTCCTGGGGTTGCCATTCCAGTGGAGAAGGAATCCAACAATGCAGCTACCATGCCCCTTGTCCGATGGGCATGGGGGCTAGGCAGAAGCATTGAGCCAAGGAACCTAAACCCATGGGTTCTGCTTCTGTGGGTAGGGTTGTCAGGAAGCCTCTGGTGAGGGGGATCTTTGAGCACAGACTTGGAGAAACAAGAGCCTGAGCCAGCTGGTCACTCGAAGAGTTTCAGGAAATGACTTCCTCAGCACCGAGGGTCACTCAGCTTTCTTCTGCCTCACCCCAGCCACCTTATTGGCTAGAGGGTCATCAAGTATAAACAAGGTTATAAGAACAGTTTTTAATCTCAAAAAACTGATGTCCCTTTTGGAAGGGGGGTTTGGTCACAGGCATACACAGACATACATACAGAGTGAGGCAGGAGGAGGGCGTACTGTGTGAAAAGGAGGGTAGAAATCAGAATGATGCATTGACAGTCAAGCAATGCCCAAGGCTGCCAGCACATCACAGGCCCCAACAGCACCCTCAGAACCAACTCTGCCGAGGCCTTGATCTTGAACTCCAAGCTCCAGAACTATAAGACAGTAACTTGTTGTTTGGCTCCAGCAGCTTAAACCCATCTGTGCTGCTCTATTAAAACAGTGCCAGGAAACAAAGGCATCTAGGGTCTAGCAAAGCACGCTTTCTGGGGCCAAGAAGGACCACTCCCTCATCCAGGCTCAAGGCACAAATCTCCTAACACGCAGCTTCCTGTGCCCCTGTATCGCTGTAATTGCCCCCCCAACTAGTCTGCTTTCCATCCAACTTTCTCCAACCATTTCTGATACTCCTGGCCGGATCCCTCTAAAATCAAAATCCGAGTCCCTATCTCACAAGTTCATAAGCCTTCACCTGCCACCCACTGCCCCCAGACAGGATCCAAATTTCTCAGGGAGCACAATGGCTTTAGGATGCAGCTTTTCAAGCTATTTCTCTTTTTGTCAATTCCTTGGTCAGGACTTCGCAGTCCACCTCCCAGCTGGGGCAAACTTCTGTTCTCCCTGAGGCTTCAGGAGACTCCCTGGCTCCATCGCAGGGCTGTCTCCATTCCCTGAGATAGCTGAGTGTCCCTCCCGGTGTTTAACTCTGTTGTGCTGCTGTGTTGTTTATCACGGAGTGTCCCAGGCTTGTTTGTCTCCTCCTTTTTGACCATGAGTTCCTATCTTATATCTCCAGGCACCAAGAAAACTGCCTGGTGCCTGGGGAGTATTCGTGGGGTGAACTAGAGTAAATGAACAAAGCATGCCAAGTTCCAACCAGTTGATTCCAGGACTATATTTTTCCCCTTTAAGGGGTGGGGGATGGGCAGATGACCTTTCCAGGGATTTCTCAATAGCATGCAGATCCACTAGAGCTGGATGCACTGTACCTTTCCTTAATGCTTGCAAGAGGAATTTAGATTAGCCATTCAAAAGCTGTTCCTTGTGTCGCAAGAAACTGCAGTATAAGGAAGCGAAGTAAACAATCAGCCCAGTAATTCTTTTTTTTCCCTTTTCTGGAGTTGACCAATATTTTGGAATCTATTTTATGATAAGAAATGGCCCCATTAGGTCTCCTCCAAGCTTCTGATTTTGTAACTCAGTGTCTGTGACCCACAGGTAAAGGTGGGTGGGTGCGGGGGTGGGGCGGGGGTTGACAGGAGTCGGGGTGGTCCTAGGACAGAAGGAATTGTTGCAAGCAACAGTCCAACACGTCCTATGCCCTTGTCTCCAAACAGTAAATATTTCTGAGGTTTAAAAATTATTTGCATACACAGTCATAAACGCTGGAGAACCTGGAAAAGAAAACGAGGAAGACAGAATGTAACAACGTGGGGAGAGGGGGTTGGAAGAGAAAAGACAGAAGTAAGTCATACAGAAAAATAATCAGGATTGGGTCTCTAGCAAATTCCTGAACCGGAGAACTGTTTCAGAATTTCCAGTCCTCAAGAAATAGGGCCTTAAAAAGTCTTGTTGAGAGGGGAGGGAGGAAAAGGAGAGGGGGAGGGGGGCCTGGCTTTTGCAGCAGGAAGTCTTCAATGGTCATTGAGTTATGAAGCAACAACTGCACTCAAGTCCTTATTCGGAGCGCTAAACTCGATTTTGCCACATAAAGAGCGGCATCAGCTCTCGCAACAGCCTCGCCCCGAGGTTTGGGGAGACCACCCGACCTTCCCCCCCACCCTACCGCCCACGCTCACAGTGGGGAAAGCTAGGGAGCTGCGGTGGGATAGTAACCCCCACCGGCAATCCGCGACGTGCCTTAGGGTTTTATTTGCAAGTCAATGAGCCAAAGGGGCGACCGGACAGGCGGTGCAGCGCTCCGATTTGCAGGGTTATTATTATCGCCTATTGCCCCACTGGACAATTTCTCTGGGAGGGAAGAGTACCGGCGGTGTGTGTGCGCGCACCGTGCCATACGGGACGTGCCGCTACGTGTCCACCTCCACAACGACTTTATTTGCAAGGCAATTACCGCGCTATTTGTTTCCCCTTTGCCAGCAACAGCAGCCGTACTCAGCTTTCGAATTTCTTAATTACAAACCCTCTTGCTCCTAAATCAACCCCAAACCATCAGGCAAAGCCCGGAGGGAGGCTGTGCAAGTTTGCACACACACGCTCGCGCGCGCACACACACACGTATACACTCCCCTCCTCCCGGATCGAGAGCTGTAGCAGAAGCAAGTAACTGTGCATGTGCAAAAAGGTGGATCTGGGGGACGAGGATCGCTGAGTTTGTTTACAGAGCAGAGACGCCTCAGCTCGGATGCCAAAGCTACCAAGAGCTGCAAACGCAAACTTAGCAGAAGCACACGTACCCCGGGAGCGGCGAGCCGCCTCCAACACGCGGCCCGGATTCGCGGGCGCGGGAGCCGGGGCTGCCGAGCCCGCCAGCGCGCTCGCTCCACCTGCCTCCGCGACCGCTCCCCGCCCCCCTGGCCGCTGCCCTTGAAAGGAGTTGGGGGTGGGGTGCTGTGGGGGAGAATGAGGTGCACCTACGTGCGGAATCAAATAAGGGATGAGGGGTTAGAAATTGGCCCCTCTGAAAACACAAAGGCAAGGCCCAGGAACGCGCGCTCGGAGACAGGGCAGTGTATGTGCGCGGCTTGAAACCCCAAGTCCCGGGAAAGCACGGCCATTCTTGGCAGCCCGGGGAGCCGTTCGTCCAGCTGGCCCAGCAGAAGGGTGGTGTGCAGGGCGGGGGCACCCCCTTTTTCCCCTGCAGGGCAGGCCGGATCGCTTTAGGTGAGCAGGATGGGAGGCCCGGCGAAGGGGTGGGGGGCGATTGGGAGACGCGGCCAGAGAGAGGCGGTGCGCTCCCAGCTCCTCTCGGAAAAGGCGCTGCCTCTGCTCGGGCCGAGGAGCTGGAAGGGTGGTGGTGGTTTTTTTTTTTTTTTTTTTTTTTCCCCTGCCGGCGGGGCGGCGCCTGGGCCAGTAGCCTTTGCGCACGTGCAGCCGGGCCCGGTCCAGTGTGCCTGGTAATCCAGAGCCCGCGATTTTGCGCCGCCCTCTGGGGCGGCTCTGACTCCGCCCTTCCTGAAATCCCTTATATTAACTGTGGCCAAAGCCCTAAGAAACACAGCTCATTGTTGGCAGCTGCCGGGCGGTCCTGCCGAGCTGTGAGGGTAGCGGAGGGGAAATAAAAGGGAACGGCTCGGAATCTGTCCCAGCGGCCGCGGCGAAACCTCGGCGCCGGCATCGCCACCGCTAGCGCCCTGCACGCCCGGGAGGCCCCCGTCTATGCGCGGCTGAGCTGGTCCTGGACCGGACGATTCCGCCCTCGGTCTTCGGAGCAGAAATCGCAAAGACGGAAGGTGAGCGCGGCGGGCGAAGCTAGCTGGGGCTCGTGCCAGCCCCGTCCTCCGAGGGCAGGGTTTGCCCGGAGGAAGAGCGCGAGGCGGAGCTGGGGAATAACAACAGGATGTGCAACAACAGGATGAGGAGGGCTGGTTACGAGCCTGAAGTTCGCGGCGGGGCTGCGGGGCACTTCCTTTATTAGGCCACTTCGGGGGAGCGGAGGGGGCAGTGTGGGCGCGCGCCCCCCAGCCCGGGTGCAGCGGCAGGGGTGAGGGGCCCGCTCGCGCAGCGACCGGCGGTGCCGAGGGCTGGCAGGTCCGCAGGGCGGCGGAGCTCCCACCACCCGCACCCCCTCCCGGTGCACCCAGTCCCCGTGGGGACCCAGGGGGTGGCGGCTTGCAGATAGCCGACGGAGATCGTCGCGGTGGGCGACACGTGTGGCGCAGGTCTTACCCGGCTGCCCTTTTCCCTCCCCAGGACTGGACATGGCAGACCATATGATGGCCATGAACCACGGGCGCTTCCCCGACGGCACCAACGGGCTGCACCACCACAATAATCATCGCCTGAGCATGGGGCAGTTCCCGAGCCCTCATCACCACCAGCAGCAGCAGCCCCAGCACGCCTTCAACGCCCTCATGGGCGAGCACATACACTACGGCGCCGGCACCATGAACGCCACGAGCGGCATCAGGCACGCCATGGGGCCGGGGACTGTGAACGGAGGGCACCCCCCGAGCGCGCTGGCCTCCGCCACCAGGTTTAACAACTCCCAGTTCATGGGCCCCCCGGTGGCCAGCCAGGGAGGCTCTTTGCCGGCCAGCATGCAGCTGCAGAAGCTCAACAACCAGTATTTCAACCATCACCCCTACCCCCACAACCACTACATGCCGGATTTGCACCCTGCTGCAGGCCACCAGATGAACGGGACGAACCAGCACTTCCGAGATTGCAACCCCAAGCACAGCGGCTCGGGCGGCAGCGCCGGCGGCTCGGGCGGCAGCGGCACCCCCGGCGGCTCGGGCGGCACCTCGGGCGGCGCGGGCAGCAGCGGCGGCAGCAGCGGCGGTGGCGGCAGCAGCCTGCCCGCCTCCGTGGCCCACGTCCCCGCCGCAATGCTGCCGCCCAATGTCATAGACACTGATTTCATCGACGAGGAAGTGCTCATGTCGTTAGTGATAGAAATGGGTTTGGACCGCATCAAGGAGCTGCCCGAACTCTGGCTGGGGCAAAACGAGTTTGATTTCATGACGGACTTCGTGTGCAAACAGCAGCCCAGCAGAGTAAGCTGTTGACTTGATCGAAAAACAACCCTCCCCCCCACCCCACCCGCCCGGCGAAAGAAATCAAACCCCCAACTTCTTCGGTGTGAATTAAAAATAAATAAATAAATAAAAACAAAAAAAAAAGAGAAACCCATTCCCTTAGACACGGTATCTCACTTTTCAGATCTTGAAAGGTTTGAGAACTTGGAAACAAAGTAAACTATAAACTTGTACAAATTGGTTTAAAAAAAAAATTGCTGCCACTTTTTTTTTTTTTCTGTTTTTGTTTCGTTTTTGTAGCCTTGACATTCAACCTCCCTTATGTAGCTGAAATATCTAGCTAACTTGGTCTTTTTCGTTGTTTGTTTTGACTCCTTATTTCCTCACTTTCTTCAGTGCTCAACTGTTAGATATTAATCTTGGCAAACTGCTTCATCTTGTGGATTTTGTAGATGGTTTCCAATGACTGAACTGCATTCAGATTTCCGAGTGAAAGGAAAAATTGCATTAGTTGGTTGCATGAACTTTGAAGGGCAGATGTTCCTGCACAAACTCTGCCATCTCGCTTCATTTTGTTTAACTATGCATTTGAGTACAGACTAATTTTTAAAATATGCTAAACTGGAAGATTAAACAGATGTGGGCCAAACCGTTCTGGGTCAGGACAAGTCAAACTGTTCACTTTCGAGTTGGCTGTCCCCCTCCCCTGTATGTACAGACAATAATAGGGCGTGGAATGTCGTCAGTGGCAAACATTTCACAGATTTTTATTTTGTTTCTGTCTTCAACATTTTTGACACTGTGCTAATAGTTATATTCAGTACATGAAAAGATACTACTGTGTTGAAAGCTTTTTAGGAAATTTTGACAGTATTTTTGTACAAAACATTTTTTTGAAAAAAATACTTGTTAATTTATTCTATTTTAATTTGCCAATGTCAATAAAAAGTTAAGAAATGACCTGTTGGCTTAGAAGGTCCTTTGGGGGGTTGGTGTTTCCCTTGGGCGTCTTTCTGTCCTTCCTTCCCTCTTTCCTGTCTTGAAGTTGAACACTATTGATGAGGGTGAGCATTCCAAAGGATAAATTACAGGACACTGAAGCAGGTCGCGATGGGCTTAAGCCGACAGCGGGATTTAACGTAATTGGCATCATGCTTCACTCTTCCCATTGAAAACATGCCTCTTGGTGTGGTTTCGTCAAAAGCTGTAAAGTTGTCAAAGTGCTTTTTCCCCCCTTAATTGCCATCCTATCCAAGGGTACTCCAGAGTTGGAAAGGTTTGCAATACTAAACAGCCATTCTCACCAGGGAGGAGGGAAGTGGGGCGTGGGGGGAGGGGAATCAAGTGTTTCTAGTTACACCTGATTCAACTGGCCTAGTACACTGAGTGATTGATGGGGATGGCATTAAATATAAATCTACCCTTATCTCCAGTGACGAATTTTATTTCTCAGTGAAAGTGCTAAGGACAGGCACACATTTTCTGGCTTAATCTCTGGAATAGCTTCTGAATGGTTTATAGTGCTGAGGCACACGGGGTGAAATTCTACCTGGAGCCATCCTATTTTGTTTTCCTATAATATTTAAAATTTACTTAGCCAGGTTGATTCAAAGGTCAAATTACAACCTTCACAAGATGTTCCCTCTGTAGCATGCCCTGTTTCCCAGAATCTCGAGCTGCTTGTCTTAGATGCCCTGGGTGCAAAGCCCATAAGAATCAGCCCATTTTCATTCTACCTGGAAGAGTTATCGGGAAGATCAAAAACAGTTAAGTGGGTGTCAGGTTTTGCCTTATATAATCAAGCAAAGGAAAAAGTACTGTTGCTAAAAGTCTCCAATTATCCCAGGTGAAAGGGGGAGGATTTATTTTGTTTTCCCTTTCATGTTTTCAGGACTTAGATTTATAAGAGTAATACCTATCCATTCAAGAAAAAATACAGACTTTTTTAACTTCACCTGGGGGCGGGGTGGGGAGGAGTAAAGGGAGATGGCAAATGCTGTAAACAACCTTTTAAAAGAGCATTTCATTTAGACTTAGCGTCTCATTTTAAATCCCGTATTTCATAATAAATCAGGAGGAGTGGGTATATACAAGTGCTGCATCGCAGTGAGCTTGGCACAAAAGCTGATTAAGTATAATTCAGATCACCTACATTGCATAATCGCATTTCCAAGGCAGGCCATGTGAAATTAAGATGCACACTCCACTTGTTTGTTTATATATATATACATACATATATATATATACTTATACATATATATACTTATATTGACATTTTCTTAATCAAAATTATGATCTAAGGCAATAACTTCTGTGAGAATATACTGAATCTTCCAGTACTCTTTTGTGCCAATATGAAAGCTAATCCACATTTCCACATTAATAGTTAAAAGTTTTCTTCAGCTAAGACATGTCAATACTAAATCTGTAATCAGCAGGAAATCTTCCTGCCTAAGCATTTCCACAGTAAGTTGTTTTTTTTTCCCTATTTCTTTTTGCTTTCTCCTCCTCCAACCCACACCAGAGGCTCAAGTGAAAATATAGCTATATGTTTGCATACATATTAATACAGCCATTCTAGTTCTTTTTCACTTGTGCCAGGAAAACAGGAGGGCGACAGGAGATACTGTTTTTCTGTAGGAAGAGGTGCAGGAATCGCCTTGCCACCACTCTGTGCCATCCATTCTGCCAGGAAATAAGCCATGGCACCTGCTCCGTCCCCAAATTCCTCCCGCCGCGCCAACGCAGGAGCACGCATGCGGAGATGCAGAGCCCCAGGAACCATTGTTAGACCTAGAGCCCATCCCTGCTAGCACACAGGGCTCACGGAGCAGGACTGCACTGAAAGCACAATTTGCCTTCAGTACAAACACAAATGCCAGTCCCCCTTCCCCATTCACTTCAATGCTCTCTATTTCATGAAAACTCTCTCTTGATCAACAACTGAGCAGATCCTAAGTGATAGCTGCCGGTCTCTCAAGCAGAGAAAAATAACTCCTTGTTTGAACAACCTGATTAATGAAACCTGTACAGTGACCTAGATCACCCGGCTACTGGCAGACATTTGCAAAACCTTTTGTGATCTTGCTTCCTACTAAGTTGCTTATAGCATATGGGGCAATTTGACCTCTGTACCTTGGCTGTTTGTCAAAAAGTTCTAATATGGTACAAGAGCGCTTCTGTTCTTTAAGCTGTGCCCACAAACAGACACCCCATGCTTGATTTTCAAGAAAAGATCAATGATAAGCAGCAGACGGCACAGTATCTCTTATGTGCATGTCAGAAAGGATAAGAACACATTCATAAAAACTGGTCCCCCTGCCTCGTGCCCGATAAAATCCTGGTGGTAGCAGTGTCTTGGCTGGAGCTGATAAAGATGTTAGAGCTACGGATGGGTCTTTGAAGAACAGTTACCTAATCACCACAGTTTATGGGTTGCTAAGCTTCGAGCACTAGTACCAGGAGGCTGACATCTATTGTGAAGTTTATGGTCTCCGTGACTTTTACTACTGTAAACGCCAGGGATGGCTATAAATTGATGTCAACATTAAAGGCCAGATCCTTTAGAGCAAAATATTAATCCACTAATCTATTATGGGTGGCTGGCTTTGAAATATAAACTTAGCACTCTTAGACTATTAGGTGTGTTCGCCCCCTTGTGGAATATATTTAGAAGAAAGCTGTTCTTCAAGAAGCTTTTTTTTTTTCCCCTGTATTGTTTGCTTTTTGCCATTTCTGAAGACTTCTGGTTTTTTTTTTTTCTCCCTTGAAGCAAACAGCATGTACTTGGGGAAAAAAAAAGTTATCAAAGACGAGTCCAGAATAAACACCCTTTATGAAAATAAGAGCATTTTACTTACCAAAGATCTTAACCTATGATTAAGCGTGCATAATTGAGATTTGCCTCATATTTGAAAATATTCATTGGCTAAGGGATTTTCTTTCTGAAAGTGTAACCAGCAGTGGTTTGGACCAGTGCGTTAGTCTGTCAGCCACATGGGGGCCCGCCAACCCTCTGCACCCCCACCACAGCACTGCTGATCTGCAGCAAGTCTGTGGAACAATGCATGTGAAGATATGAGTTAGAAGAGGTGAGGAAAAGCTCCGGCATGTAATTATCTACATGGAATGTGACCAAGCCACTGACGCTCGCTGGAAAGGGCCACGGGCTGTGCAATGAGCAAGAGCTGCCGTCGTGCAAGGTCACTAAGACTTGAATAAATCCGCCAGATGGCATGCCCCCACCCCCAAGTCCCGGCAATACGTCAATTTAGATCTCAAGAAATTCAGGGCACAGACCGCGAGCAAGTTCTCCCCTTTTCAGCGGTATCGTGTTGTTAGCACAAAAGGGGTGTGACACAGAGCTTGGGAGATGGTGTTTGCCAGCTTGGGCCTGTGTCGCTGTCCTTGGAATCAGTGTTGGCGCAGGTTGACGCTGAACCTCAGCCAGGGATCCACAGGAAGCGCATCAAATGACTTAGCTAGTGGGCCTCGGTAACCAGCCACGTGTTCTGTTCGTCTTTCCCCCCCAAGAATAGAAGGAACAATGACAATGTCAGAATTATAATTGCAATGGACTGGCTTAAATTACTTGACCTATTTCTAAGCAGCAAAGAAAGAAATGATTCTATTTTTCCCCCGGCAGCCATGCTTATAATTTAAAGTGCATAAAGGAAATGTAAGGACATTTTATATCAGATAATGCACTCTTAAAAATAGTTTGCATTTGCCTTATAGCTAGTAAGACCCAGCTCTATTTTTGAAAAATTTTTTAAGACATTGGAAATGAAGAATTTTTTCTTTTCATAGAAGTAAACTGGGCTTATAAGTAACTCTAATGAATTTTTAAAAATATTTATTTACTTTTATTGGAAAGTCAGATTTACAGAGAGAAGGAGAGACAGAAATAAAGATCTTCTGTCCACTGGTTTACTCCCCAGCGGCTGCAACAGCTGGGGCTGAGCCAATCCAAAGCCAGGAACCAGGAGCCTCCCCTGGGTCTCCCACAAGTTCAGGGTCCCAAGGCTTTGGGCCATCCTCAACTGCTTTCCCAGGCCACAAGCAGGGAGCTGGATGGGAAGTGGAACAGCTGGGACATGACCAGCACCCATATGGGATCCCAGCACATCCAAAGTGAAGACTTTACCTACTAGACTACAGCACCATGCCCAAAGAATGAATTTTAAAAAGCCTAAAGATGGTGGAGTGACTTTCTATCCTATTTTGCTATTCACACTCTATCAACACAGCAAAGGAAAAGCCAAGAGAAGTCGGGGTCGGCTCTGTTGAGGGACTGAATCCATGGCCCTCGGAAGGGAGCGTGGCAGACCAGTCCTTTTCATACTTTCCATGAGCAAAGCGTGGCTTTTTGGTGACTAGATCTTCATCCATTACATCCTCACCCAAGAAGATAGTGCCAAGTTGGACGCAGCCCTGGGAGATGCTGGTGGTGCT